AGCAACTGCCATGTGATTGGTTGATTAGATAATTGCATTAATGAGAAATTGAACAGGTGTTCCTAATAATCCTTTAGGTGAGTGTATATGTGTGTGTGTGTGTGTGTGTGTGTGGGGGGGGTGTCCGTTTTTGAACAAATGCCCCCGTAATGTGATAAAAACCTGTTATTTTGATGTTGGACCATTTTTTCACAAGGGAAATTCATTTTATAAAAATCTGTGAATGATTTTTTTTTTTGAATGTCAAAAGTCTGATGGGCTCGTTTGCACAAAACACCTTAAGTTAAGATTTCCCTTAAAGTCTGACTTAAGGTCTCCTTAATGTAGCCGGCTTCCCAAGAGTGTGCGGGGTGATAGATGGGACCCACATCAGGATTCAAGCTCCCGTACAATATGAAAATCAATTTATTAACAGAAAAAAATCAATTTTCAATCAATGTCCAGTTAGCTTGCAATCATGAACATAAACGTTGTAGCACAGTGTCGACTTTCTTAAATTAATTTTCATTGCAATTTCCCCCCACATTCGTTGTTTTCTGTTTGCTGTTATTTGCGGATCAAATTTACTCTTTTTCTTTCTTTTTGTCTTCTTTTCTCCCATTTTTTTTTTTTACTTTGTGAGTAACTTTGTGAGGTGATAATGGGTATCACAAGCAGACGCGAGTGCAAGCATATGAACGGTCTCCATGGAAACGGGACAATTTTACTGCTGTAAAACGTCTTTCAATGTTGTAAATCCCATAATGTTTTTCCTTAACTAAGGAAACCTTTTAAGGGGTTCTGTGCAACACCCTTAAACAAATCCCTTAGCTAAGGAGAAATTACACCTTAAGTGTCATACTTAAGGGGAAAACTTAAGGTGTTTTGTGCAACCAGGCCCTGGTATATTGTATGGTTACTTAAGGTTAGGGCTTGGGGGGGGTTAAGGTTGTCAGTTTTGAGATTAGGCATTTTCCATTAGAAATGAGTGGAGAGTCCCCACAAAGAATACAAATACAAATGAGTGTGTGTGTTAACATTGATTATTGCGTGTCTGTCCAGCAGTCAGGCTCTGTCCCGACTAGGGTACCTGCTCTCCAGTGCCCTCTGTTTCCCAGGATAAATTCTGAATCATCACGCCCTAATTCGATAAGCACCTACTGAAATCGGATTGATGTGTAGTCATATATAATGACGCGGTTCACGGAGTGTGGCCAGTCCACATCAGAGCACGGCGCTAATCACAGGGATCGTCTTTTCCTTTGTAATGTAGGCCAGGTGAATTAGTGCATCTCTGACTTGATGGATTTCCCATTATTGCATGAGAATGTGCAAAACTGAGATTCCTAGAATGAGGATGAGAATTTAGGCCATCCATCTTCTAACTTTTCATCCATTTCTGTGTTACAGACACATCCAGCTGAGCCATCTGAACTTGGGCTGTGTGAATGAAGCACCTGGAGGAAACCCACACAAAAACAGGGGGAGCAGTAAACCACACAGTGGAGGGCTAGAATGAAACTGTAAAGTGTAAGGCTACACTGACACACACTGAAACGTAACAGCAGCCTTTTCTGAGCAGAAATCGAACCCGTTACCCAGCTGGTTGTGAAGCAGCCGGAATGAGGATCCGCTCCATGGATCAATGTGGAAAATGGATGGATGAATCTGTACTTTCTAACAATGTGCAGAATAAATGCTGGCTTGTTGGCTGGATTCAGATGAGGTCATCCAATTAACAGCTCTTCCTGCGTGGCTGTCAGGAATGCATTTGCCAGCTCTAATGAGACTATGTTGCAGATTATTATATAATTCTATAAAATGCATTATTAATTGTGAGAGCGTGTATATGTATGTGCCCGGTGACGCACCGGCATCACATGCAGAGCGAGCCCAGCCTTGAGCACTGTGCTCCCTGGAACAAACATCCTCCTCACAACCCTGCCCAAGACGGACAATAGACAAGATATATTTTTCATATATTATAAATTATTAACTTGTTGGGCAAAACATCCACCCAACTAGTTTGTGTACCTGCTTCTCCTGTGCAGGGTTGTGGGGGTCCAGGGCCTACCTCAGAATCTATGGACACAAGGCAGAGAAAAAACCTGGACAGGGCATCAGCCCACTACAGGGCGCACACACACACCACTGACACACACACTCACACACTCACACTCCGACTGATCGTAGCATGTTTTTACACTGTAGGGGGAAACCAGAGTATCCAGAGGAAACCCAACAATGACACATAGAGCCAGGGGAGAAACTCAAACCCCAGCCCTAGAGGCATAATACGACAGTGCTAACCACTGCACCACCATAGGACCAAACCCCAGCCCTAGAGGCATAATACGACAGTGCTAACCACTGCACCACCATAGCACCAAACCCCAGCCCTAGAGGCGTAAGACGGCAGTGCTAACCACTGCACCACCTTGGCACCGAACCCCAGCCCTAGAGGCGTAAGACGACAGTGCTAACCACTGCACCACCTTGGCACCAAACCTCAGCCCTAGAGGCGTAAGACGGCAGTGCTAACCACTGCACCACCTTGGCCCCGAACCCCAGCCCTAGAGGCGTAAGACGGCAGTGCTAACCACTGCACCACCTTGGCGCCGAACCTCAGCCCTACAGGCGTAAGATGACAGTGCTAACCACTGCACCACCTTGGCGCCGAACCTCAGCCCTACAGGCGTAAGATGACAGTGCTAAGCACTGCACCATCTTGGCGCCGAACCTCAGCCCT